CCCCAAAACCCCAAAACCCCAAAACCCCAAAACCCCATTATCTTATAATATATATAATGTGAAGGTTTAAAGAGTACGCTTCCAAAAATTATCCCTTATGGTTTATAGATATCAACCATACACAGCTAATGTATTCAAGAGATGTGAGAGAGGAGCCCCGTTTCTTGGAGTAACAACCATGTTCATGGCTGTGTTCGTTCATACATCAGCTTTCCTTCTTCCTGACATATTTGAATACGAAGGCTCGGGCATTGGAGTCTTTATAGCTGTACTCACTTACACAATAATGGCTTTTGCTTATTATTGATATCTGAAGGTTGTATTTACTAATCCTGGCAATATCAGAGCTGAATGGATTCACCCTCTTAATGAAAGAGAGCAAAGCCATATTCATATTGATAGTGATGAAATTTCTAACGCTAACAATGAAAATATTGATCATGAATACCAAGTAAGCCTCTATACCAACCTTTTAGAAAATCCTTAATGGCTTTAAGCTGAACTCTACCAATGTACCAGAGGAGTCGCTATGCCAAAATAGAATCCTCGCAGTTACCCAGACCGAAAATGGAGGTATGTAAATTGCGATAATTATAATTCAAAAAATCAATTTTTGCCTTTTTAAAAATCTTCAGCAGCTTCAAATCTCGGATTCGTTTCAAAACTATCAGACCCAAGATGCTCAATCTGAGAATATAAACCTCTTGGGTTTACATTAAGAAAGTTACTCCTTTGGTCAATTAATTAACAGCCAAACTTCTTAGTTATTCGTTATAATTGCTCGCTTTAGTCATGATAAATCTTTTACTTTACTTCAAAGAAATCCTTGATGGAATATTATAACAGGTTTTAACATTTTAGTTCAGCCAGGTCAGAATTTGGTAATAATGGGCAGCAAGAAAGAGAAGCCAATGAAAATATTGAGTACTGATGCTCTTGATAATTTTAGTCACATGAGAATAGTTATTAAGAACTTCAAGTACAGATACTGCCAAGTCTGCAAAAGAGACAAAGCTCCGAGGTCTCATCATTGAAGAACGTACTATATTGTTAGTCATTACGTAGATGAAATCACTGAGTATTAAGAATGGACCATCATTGCCCTTGGCTTGGATCATGCATTGGAAGGAACAACCACAAGCACTTTATTCTATTCAACTTCTATACTACGATAGGGATGATCTACATGGCAACGATCTGGGCTCTTTGTATCTTCTACTGGGATTTTGATTATTCTTCAAGTAGAAAGCTTGTAACGTAGGTGATTAGTAACATCTTTAGGTATCTTCCATTAATGATCATTTTTGCTATCAACTCAGTGTCAACGTTGTCGTTATTTGCCTGACATATAGTGTTTGCTTTTCTGAATATCACTACATTAGAAACTTATGATGCCTTCTGGACAAGACCATTCCACACAGGATCTTACTGGTATAATTTTAAGACTGTATTTGGAGATCCTAAATGGAAAATACTCTGGTTTTTACCTACAAATCCAGATTTCGGAGCCAAGAAGGGAGTAACATTCTTAAATTAATCTTATAGAACCAGGCCAGAGGTGACGGACATATTTATTATTACCAAACAGCTCAGAGGTAAAAATTCAATCTAGACTATGTATTTAGGGGTTTTGGGGTTTTGGGGTTTTGGGGTTTTGGGG